TCCAACCCCTAACGCATCCTCTGATAAGCAATTACCCATGAAAATCTTCTAGCTAAGCCGCCGGTCCCTCCCCTTTCCCTCTTTCATCTCCCTTCCGCTCTCTCGACTGAGCCTATGCCGCCGACTCTTCCGCTTCTTCTCTTTCTTCTCTCTCTCGGGCACGCACGTCCTCTCGTGTGTGCACCGACCCCCTCCTCTCCCTCTCTCTCCTTGCTCTCACTCTCTCTTTCTTTCCTCTCTTCTCTTCTCTCTCCTCTTCTCTCTCTTCTCCTCTCTCCCTCTCTCTCCTCCCTCTCCTCACTCTCTCTCTTCATTTCCTCTCCCTCTCTCCTTCTCTTTTCTTCTCTCTCTTCTTTCTTTTTCTCTTCTCTCCCTCTCTCTAATCCTCTCTCTCCTCTATTTTTTCCTTATTCTCTTTCTCTTTCCTCTTCTTCCCTCGCTCTTTCTTCCTTTCCTCTCTCTTATCTTCTCTCTCCTTCTCCTTTTGTCTTTTCTTTCTTTCTCTCTTCCCTCCCTCTCTCTCGTCCTCCCTCTCCGCTATATCTTCCCCGTTCTCTTTCTCTCTCCTCCTCTTTCCCTTGCTCTCCCTTCCTTCCTTTTTCTCTATCTGCCCCACTCTCACTCATTCTCTCTCGCCCTCTCTCCATCTTCTTCACTCTTTCTCTCTTCCTTTCTCTTTCATTCACCCTCTCTCTTTCTCTGTCCTCGTCACTCTCACTCTCTTTCTTTCTTCTCTCTCACTTCTCGTCTCTCCTCTTCTCTCTCTCCTCCTATCTTCTTCTTTCTTTATCTCTCTTTTCTCTTTCTCTCTCTTCTCTCCCTCTCTCCTCTCTCTCTTAATCTCTCTCTTCTTCTCTCTTTCTCTCTTTTTATCGTTCTGTCTCCCTTGCTCTCTCTTTTCCTCACCCTCTCTCCTCTTCTCTCTTTTTATCTTTCTCTCTCCCTTGCTCTCTCTTTTCCTCTCCCTCTCTCCTCTTTTCTCTCTCATCCTCTCTTCTTTTCTCTTTCTCTCTCTTCTCTCTTTCTGTCTCTCCTCTCCCTCTCTCTCATCATCTCTCCTCTTGTTCTTCCTTGTTCTCTTTCTCTCTCCTCCTCTTTCTTTCGCTCTCTCTCATCCTTTCTCTCTCTCTTCCACTCTTTCTCCCTCATTCTCTTTTTCCTCTCTCTCTCTTTCATTCTCTTTTAAAACTCCTCTCCATTTCTCTCTCAATTCTCTACTTCCTCGACTCTTACTCTCTCTCCTCCATCATTATGTTACCCCTCTTTTAACTACATGATTCATCATCCCTCTTGGAGTTTTTTGTGTTTTTATATGAGATTGTTTGTCAAGATGGCGCCGAACAGCTGCCAAATTAATAAATAGTCTCATGTCATCCCTATCTTTTTTATTATTATTATTATTTTATATACCCATCAAATGACCAGTCAGGGTCTTCTGACGCACTTGTCTGGCCATATTATGCGTGTGTGTTCATAACGCACAGCGTGCGAGTAAGAGAGTTAGAGCCGAACCAGCCTTAGGCTAGGGGGTTTTCCATCGTGATATAAGAGGGAGCTCGTAAATGCCCGAGCGTGTCACAAACCCACCGTGAGGAAGATCCCACCTCACACCCTATAATTCTCTCTCATTAGTTAGTACCTACTCGCATGTGCACCTCACACACTGCAGTTCCTGAGAGAGAAATCTCGAGCGGGACCCACACATCCGGGTCCTCACACAGTCATCCGACCCGATGAGATGGAGGCCCAACCAGCTCGGATGGTGGTGACTCAATGTGGGATGTAATAAGCCCAGTTGAGGTAATCTCCGACGCTTTCTTTTTTTTTATTGTCATATTTTATTATATTATCTTTATATTCCCAAACAAAGAATTGTGGATATTTTCTTTGATTAAAAGAAAATTGGTTTAGTGGCATCAAAGTTTTCAATATCTTGGATTTGTTAGTTTTATTTTCTTTGAAGCAAGAGCTATTGTAATAAGACTACTTGTAAGTGATCTTTGTCGAAAAAAGGAAAAAAAAAAAAAAGAGATTAAAAGAAGAAAAAAAATAAAAATCCCTAAAAAAGATCACATAGTCTTTCTTTCACCACACTCTTATTAAAAGCCTTCTAATTTATTTTAAAATAAATCAAATCTTATGGGGTAGTGGCCATTCAATTCTAGCCGCCCATGAGTTGAATTCACGATATAAAATTGGTATTATGGCAATGTCACGGTCCATAAATTCATAAATTAAGGAGTTGCGTGGTTGAAGGTTTATTATAAGATGTTATAATAAGTATTATAGATGGTGTACATTTATATTTTTGTACCGCATCAACCATTTCTCGGATTTTTATACTGACATATTAGTCCGTAATTACTAGGTAATGACAATTACGAACAAGTCAACCCATTGTTATAGGTTAAATTAGTCACTATTAACACATTTATGAACTACTTTGCCATAAATTATTCATCAAATTAACCATAGGCATAGACACATTTTTTATGCAACGCAGGAAGAACGTAACAGCTGTGCGCCTCGATTTTTATACTGAATATTTTGACTGGACATGCTGTCACATTCTACGAGAGAACTATATTTACTTATTCTCAATACATCACCTACTTTGCGACATTCTACACGTAGTATTTCAACGGTCAACATTAGTACAAACATAGTTCTATAGACTATGACATTTAGCTAGTTACAAAATTGAAAGATGAGCTATCAAAGTAGTGCCGAGATGCAGAGTAAGTGGGGTAAGACGTTCCGGTAATGACAAGGAATGAAACATTTTATAGCCTTTAAACCACAAGAATCCAGTCTTTCTTATATCCAAAAGATCAAGAAAAACCGAATTTTTTCAACTCGGAAATGAGTTTAAGCATTAGTATCACTTTATTGGCCTCGCTCTTGTTATTTCCCTACAAATTGTCCATCTGTGAAAAATAAACTTGTCCTCTACTTGTATGCTCGTTCTAATTCTAGGGTCATTAATAGGTTAAAAAAAAAAAACCGACAGTTACATTCTACACGTCCTAAGATTCCTAAGATGGAATAAGAGACCGTCCAATTTTTTGTCTGCTACGCCTAAGTATTTAGAGCAATTTTAAAAAGTTCCTCTCTAAGATATTACATATGCAATAAGGACAATCCAGAAAATGGCTTATGAACCTAAAATCAACCTCAGCAATTGTAATCAACTTGCATAAGAAAGAGGGAGAGTCTGCCATATTCCTATCCTGCCAATGAACTTCACCACCAGACTCTGGCAATTGTAATGCTTCAGGTTGCCATAAAACAACGGCAATCCCAAGTACATTACCTGCAGTGAACCCTCTCCAAACCGCAGTTCTTTCAACATCAAGTGTTTGGCACTCATGGAAGCCCCAAAGAAGAAAATCTTATTTTTTAGTTCCATTCAGTTTCTGCCTAGTGATCTTACCAAAACTAGAATGCATAGAATTTATCTGTCTAGGTGCTAGTACAGAAGCCTCACATAAAATTTAAGTTAATTCTTTCGACAATAAAATTTTATTTTTAAGATAATTATCAGATATCACACTCCTAAAAATTGAAATATTATCTCATCACCTATACCGTCTGATGGCACCATTGGACGATTAGGGCTTGCCACTCCAATGCGGATTCACATCAGAAGTTACGTTTGGCCTTTTCGTGTAGACCAGTTGGTGAACGGGGTCCCTTTTTTTTTTTGGTATAATTCGGGAGGTTTAACATTTAGGTGCCATCTTTGTTTTGATGGGAGAAATCAGACAACTTTAAGATTTAGGTGCACATTGTTACTCATTTTTGGACTTTCAAATTTCAAGATTTTCAAGTTCTCATAGATATGTTTGATCTGCACCATTTTTAATACTTTAAATTTTATAATTAAGAATAAAAATATAATTTAAAACTATCACAAAATTCCCCGTACTAAAACCATATTTTTTAACACTATTTAAAGATGAGTCTAATTTTATTGTTTAGAGCCTAGGCTCTATACAAACCACAACCTAAGTAAAATGGTTAATATTTCAACTCAATCCTAAGAGAAAGAGAACATATATCCCAAGAGAAAGACGACATATAGGATGTCTCTTTTCTCACTCTTATATTCACTTGACCGTGAAAAACCCTCGACATTCTGTCCAAGGTTTGCGGTTAAAAGCTTTATTTTTTTCTTCTTATTGGATATTTTTAATGGGAAATTACAAATAACTCTCAAGACCACACTTTCTATGGTATTTATCCCCAACTTAATGTTTTTTCTCACATTTTACCCCAAAACAAACTTTTTGTACAAATAACCTCAAGAAAAAAAGTTCCTTTTTTAGGCAAAAATACCTTTTTAGTACACAAAAATCATTTTGGCCAGATTTGATATTGGCTTTTGGACACCAGTAGCATATTGCCGGAGTACACCATCGCATTGTCAGACCTCTCTTTACATAAACTTTTACCGGAGTACACCATCGCATTGTCGGACCCCTCTTTACAAAAAATTAGGTGCCGGACCGCCCTGAAGACAATGACAGGACTAAAATAGAGTATTGTCGGACCGCCCTTTACATGTGCCAGAGCATTGGAATCCCCTAACATCTATTGCCCAGCCGAACCGCCATTTGCAACTGTCGGAACACAAACATCTACTACCGAACCACCCTTTGCAACTGCCAGATCGCCTTACGAGTGTTCTATTGGAGACGGTGCCGGAGCCCTATTTTGGTGGGATAGATGAGAGAGAGATATGGATAAGATAAAAGTAAGGGAGGATAGTTTAAATATTGTTTTGGTTAGGGTATTTGCATAAAAATTGTAATTTAAGAAAAAAAAAAAAAAAGTGAGAAAAAAAGTTAAGTTGGCTCTAAATTGCATAAAAAGTGTCTCTTGGAGGGTTTTTTTTTAAAAAAAAAAATTCCTTGTTCTTAAGCAATTAAGTTGAACCTACGGCAGACTTCCTATAAGAGTATCCCAACTCTTCTCATCCGTATATGCCTCATGCGTGATCTGAGAGACCACCTGTACATCGATTAAGTGGAGCCACTCGAGCTCTAAAAAGTCCTTCCACTGTGAGATTACAAATATGCAAGGCAGCGAGCAATCAGACACGCAATTGGTGATTGATGTAGTTAATGGGAATGTCAGATTGGACCCAGAGGAGGGGGAGGTAGAGGAATGAAAAAATCGTTGCCTTTACAAAATCCCGTCCTTCCTCCAAGAGATCCATAAAGGGGCCTTCAGTCCCAGGCTGGTTTCGCTGGGCCCATTCGACCATGGCAGCCCTCACCTGCAACTCATGGAGCGCCACAAGCGTCGTGCGCTCCGCAAATTCCTTTAATGCTCGGGACACCCGGTCGGTGTCTACCTCGAGGCCCTCCGAGCTGTGGAGCAGAAGCTCAGGGCCTGCTATGAGTGGCCTGATGAGCTGCCAGGAATGGAGAGCCCCAAGTTCCTTAACATGATGCTGCTCGACGGCTGCTTCTTGCTTGAACTCCACCGCACCACCATGGATGAGGACACATCAGGCTATGCAGACGATGACCCGGTCTTCGGCCCCAAAAGGGCGGACTTCACGGACAACATTGGTTACGACTTGGCGCCGTTGGAAAACCAAATCCCGTTGCTGGTCTTACAGACTTTGTTGGACCCCTCGGGGGAACGCTCCTATGCTGCCGCTGAGGCGCAAAAAGGTGGCTCATGAGCTCCACTTCAATGATAAGTACACTTCGATGCGGGACCGTAGCGGGATGCATCCGCTGCATATTTGCCAAATGTTGTCGCAATCGCCGTGGGGGAAGTTGCCTGAGGTTGAAGAGGGGCTAAGAAACCCGGAGCCGTATCACAAGAAGGTACCATCAGCCACGGCGCTACATGACGCCGGGGTGAAGTTCCAAGTGATCCCGAGTGATTCCAACATGGGCATCGGTTTCGACGGCGGGGTGCTGAAGCTACCATGTCTAGTCATTACCCAAGCCACGGTATAACACACTCACAAGGAGGGCTATTTCACATTATACTCGTTTTTTTTGTTCAATTTCAAAGGACACGTGATATTAGAATAGCTAGAGAAGGGCTAGAACATTAAATATCTAAATTATGGATTCCTTGATAATCTTTTCAATAAAAGGTAAATTTTCTAACAATTTTATATTAAAGTTTGTACCCTCTTGAAAAGGGGATAGATTCTTTTTTTTTTTTTTTTCTTTTTGGTTATTGAGAGGATTCATGTAGGATGTCAGTCTTTCAAACCGTACAGCTGCGAGGAGCAAATTTATTAAAAGATTTTTGGTAACTCTTAATTCTAAATGGTTATTGCCCGTGTTTAAAAAAGCCGATCCACGTCCAGAATCATTAACACTCCTATCTATGTCGAATCGGAGAATCAGTTTGAAAAATTGGCCGAATCAGCAATTTTTGTCCCAAAATATTTTCAAAAAACAACTACACTTCTCTAAAAATAGTGTTCTTTTGGTTTCTAAGAGAAATTAGGAGTGGTGTATTATGTACTTTCATTACTTTGTAAAAATAGGATAATTCTGAGAAGTTATTTTCCTGTCTGGATATTTGTATAATTAGCATTATAATATTACATCAAAATAATTTAAAAATATTAGAAAGCACTTCCATATAATTGAAAAATAATTTAATGTATATAAAAATAATTTTACTGACATAAGTTTAATATAATTATATTAATAAACAACAATTTCACATAATTATATTAATTTTTGTAACTTATTATATATAATTAAAACTTAATTATATGTACTTTATTTTTGTATATTATAAAAAAGAAATAAATAATTTTTTATTATTTATAAAAATTATAAGTATATTAATTTAAAATTACAATCTAGATTAAATAAAAATTTCAATATAGAAATAACAATTTTAACATAATTATATAAATAATATTTATATTCACTCAACATAATAATATTAACATAATTTTAATGTGATCGTATTCACATAATTAAAATTGTATAGTGGAGAGCCAACTATGAAATTAATTATATGAAGTTTCTCAGTAGAAGGCCAACTCTTTTCATGTATAATCTAATTTTTGTAAATTTATATGGAATTTCGTTTTGTAATTATATGTAATTAAAACTTACCATAATTGCGTGAAACAAACTGGTGAACGTTGAGCTAAGCATGTGCAGTGCGGAGGGCACTTATGTGGCACTTCGTATGCATGTATTTGGGAAAATTTGGGGCAAATCATACTCTTCACAAATAATTGCATGGAACAAACTGATATGCTTTGTGAGAAAATCGTATGCACGGTGCGTAAGTACACAAGATTGTGTATGGAGGGCACTTATGTGACACTTATATGCACATGGTTGGGAGAACGTGAGGCAAATCGTACAGTGCACAAGTGTGCACTACTTATCATAATTGCGCGCTACAAACCAGAGCACTTTGTGCGCGAATCACGTGTGTTGAACTTCTATTTTTTGTTACTTATAAAAAAATAAATATTATTAATTTAAAAAAGAAAAATGACTTTTATTTTATATATTATTTCATTTTTGTAGACGATGTAAAAGCAAGAGAGGGATAGAGATGTCAATGGATATGTAAAATCTTTTTTTACACTTCGTTTTTTCTTTAAACAAAAAAAAACAATTATTTCATGGAGGCTGAACCACATTGTACAATATACGGGTTTTAAGGTATAAAGCATCCATCTTAATGATGGCTGCAAATAGGTGGTCCATCAAAAAATAATTTAAACTGATGGTCCAAATATTTTCTTTATAGAACTATTATTTCTAATTTTAAAAATTTAATCATTTTTTCATATTTATAATCTAAATATCTCGATGTTAAGAATATAAAGCTCACAAAGATTCGAAAGATTTTCAAAATTTAAGAAATTTTCAAAATTTAAGAATATAAAGGGGCGGCCGCTTCCTTTCACTTTAGGAACAAGTTGTGCGTCAATTGCATGGTCCATCGATTAGATAGACCAGGTTCTAAGAAGACATCATATACTCTCCCCCTCTTTCTATATATATCATAAACACTTGCAAAGCTTGCAAAGTATTTACGGGTAAACATTTCATTGTGTTTGCGTTTGTGACACAATTTGTACTGTACGAAAGATCATCTAGGATCATGCCAATAAAATATGGGACGAATAATTATAGTTCAATAGGATTTAAAAAAAAAAAAAGAAAAATATTAACTTATGGGATATTTAAAAGTAAAAAATGTTATTACTCTATAGGATATTTTTTTAAAATATAATACTTGTTCATGAGATATTTTAAAAGAAAAACATACAACTACATCATGGGGCATGGGGCACATGTAGTCCACACATCCACTTTTTAAATTTATTTTCAAGTTGTTTTATCCATTATTCTACCATATGTATGAGTTTATCTATCTATTTTCTAATTTTATTAAAGCATGATTAAAATTTCACGTTTCTAAACGCTATATTTTTACACAAATTAATTATTATATATATATATATATATGGGTCTATATATTAGATCCAAAACTATTATATATTTACTCTTTTTTTCACAATAGATTTAAGTTAGAGAGATCCATTTTATTGAAACGAGCTGCATTTCAAATTTCATTTGACAATAAAATGATTTTAATGGATAACAAACACTCAGACATGAGACAGGTTCTCAGTACATGTCCATTTTTAATAAAAATAATAAAAACTATAATGCTATAAAACTTCTTTTTAAAAAACAAACATAATCGACTATATTTTAAGAATGTTTGTTATTTTTTGAAATTTTTGTAGCTTCAGATCTTGTTGATCTAGCCGATCTTCCAATCCGAATTGCCAATCCACAAGACCGTGTTCGTCTGGCCCAGTTTTCGGGATGGGCGATCGAGATCACATATCAATTTTTTTTCAAACCATGATTGCAGGCATTGCAGCAGTTGCAAAGACCGAAGTATTAATTCAAATTTGATATAAAATATATTTTAGTCAAATTCAATTCATACAAACAAGAGTGAATTACGTATAGACACAACAAAAATTATTAAAATACGAAAGGAGTCCAATTTTGGGGTAAAATTACGTAAAAGGTTGGTCAACCTAAGGTTTTTTATTTTTTTCATAATTTCCCCTCAGTCGAAAGATAGCATCCTCGTACCGTAATTATTTTTTTATTAATTTTTTTTAATTATTTTTTTGATAGTAGGTTGTGCCCTAATGTTTAGGGCAGTGCTTCGTTGGTCTAATGATAGCATCATTGGACCACCTTCTTTGGTGTTTTTCAAAGTGATCCAAGGTTGGCTTTCTCGAACCGGAAATACTTACTCTTTTAAGCATTCAAAGGTGGTCTGTGCTGCCCATTCTCATACTGTCATCTCTAGTGCTCTTCAAGGTGGTTTGACGTTGGCATCTTCGGACCTTATTCTCTGGTGCTCTTGAGGGCGCCCGAGGTTATCATCTTTGGCCACATTAGCTCATTTATTTGCTAAGAAATAAGGTGGTCCGAGGATGCCAACCTTAGACTGCCATCTAGACACGCATTGCCCCACACTAAAGCCCTGCCCTACTAATAAAAAAAACTAAAAAAATATATTTAAAAAGTGATTTGAGGATGTCATCCTAAGACCGAGAGGCAATTTTAAAAAATAAAATAAAAAATACGGATTGACAAACTTTGTGTATACTTTTTATCTAAAATTGACCCATTTTGTATTTTTCTATTTTTGTCCGTACATAAATTACTTTACAAAGATTGAATTTAAATTCATTTAATATCCCATGTTCTCTATCCATTTTATGATTCATATTTTATTCGATATTTCAGAATGCATTTTTTTTCCAAGCTTTAAGAATTTTTAGACCTCTTGGGCATGCCAGTGCAAACTCACGCGTGCTGATTGGACTCGACCAAGTCTGATGCGAGGCAATATCCAAGTTTCACCTCAAAGCCGATCTTCTAAACATTGAAAAGAAACTATCAGAGTACTCTAAAGAGAAGGAGAGTGAGAGGAGTCTTGCAAACATTGAAAGAGAAATCAGGATATAGTTGATGGAGAGAGAGGAATCGGGCTCGGGTCAAGGCTCAAGTTTCATTACTATGTTACCTCATCAAAAAGAGAGATTAAGATTCTTTAGAAATAACTTTATCAATTGTAGACACGCAGATATCTTTAAGGACTGATTTGGGTGACATGTGATATGCAGAGGACTATGTTGTCTTCAGCGACGTATCTCTTAATCCTATTCCCAGGATCCACACATTCCGACCAGGTTGTCCTGATTTTAAGGAGTCAAAACAATCATAAACTTGGCTTCCTAGGGAAATTTCCGAGTGAACTCACCCGACCTAAGCCAAAATCGAAAAAGAAAATTGCTGAAAACTAAAAATAATTTTTTTAATTTAGGGTTAAAAATAGGTAAGTTATAAAAAAAAAAAAGGAAAAACTTGGGTCGATCCTTATATATTTTTAACTTTGTATGGCATTTGGAACAGGAAACCTTTCTATTGAATGTGATGCCGTTCGAGCAATTGCATGTGGACATGGATAATCCTATCAGCTCATTTGTAAACTTGATGGATAATCTGATAGACGAAGCCAAAAGACGTCCAACGGCTAGTAGATTCAGGTATAATAGAAAATAGGATGGAAAGTGATCAGGAGGTGGCTGAGCTCTTCAATCGGGTCACTAAGGGAATGGCCTTTTCTGAGAATTCCCACCTGAAGGGGGTGCGGATGGCTGATCTGCCATTGCAAGAAGAGTTAAAACCTGTGGAGGGCTCGCTTCGTCAACACCTACCTTCGCGACTCGTGGGCGGTTATAGCGTTGCTGGCAGCAGTGCTCTTGCTGTGTCTAACATTGATTCAAACTGTGTATTCGGTGCTCAGTTATATTAAATAGTTTATTGACTGCCATCGCTACTCCTGATGACTCTTGGTAGTTGTTAGGTTAAAGTAAATCTTAGGCAGTTGGTTTAAAGTGTAAATGAAGATGACAAATGGGGAAAGAATACCTTCTATTGGATTATGAGGGAAGAGATGGATCCCTAAATTCCCAAGATTAAACGAAGCGTCGTGAGATTGAAAATCTCAGAGGGGAGGATTTTTTTTAACAATGAGAACTCAAAGCTCTCTGTGTATGCCTTTCTATGGCCATGAAAGGTCTAGTTATAGTGGGATGGAGGAAACCGTTCTCTAACATTCGGCTTTCTGTTTAAATAACGAGACTTTCTCTTTAAGAAGGGCCCTTATTTAGTGATAAACATAATATTTATGATAAAAATTAAAGAGAAAAAAATAACATGTATGAGAGCCCATAGCCACCATACATACCAACACCTTCGAGAAGATATGATTCTTCCTTTTATGAACTTTTGAGCTCTTGAAATTAAACTTTAGAATCGCCGCAAACCATCACATGAGGGAAAGCATGTTTTTGGCTTTCATATGTTTTATGCCCCTCAAAATCCGAAACGCGTTACAATTCTAATGGGATATAAACCATATCAATTACTATAGTTGTTTCTTATTTTATCCCATGCCTATAAAATAAGTAAAATCTAATACTCTTTTTGTATGTAGCCAATCCTTTTAGTAAAAGGCAATTGATGCATATCAGTTGAAGTTATTTTCGAAACTTCTACTAGACGGTAAAGTTGTTTAAATCAGGGAAAATTATGGATACCTTTTAAATGAATTTTGTAGATATTATAACCCCTCAATATTTTTAAGGGCTGTTTGGATACGTAGAAATATATTGTTTGTGAAATATATTACTAATGTAAGACATTACTGTGTAATACTTTACCTGCAAATGGATTGCTACTATTTGGGTAGGATTTAGATGCAACTTGAAAAATATAGTGGTACTGTTTGGCTATGTCTGGAAGAAATATGGGGAAGTCATTAACAACATTTTACCCACACTTGCCTATAAACTATCATTTCTTTTTCTTTTTGTCACAAAATTCCACTGAAATGCAGAATTAAAGTTATCATCACATCATTTCAAAAAGATTTTCTAATAATAACATCATCATCATTCCAAAAAGATTTTCTAATAATAACTTGTACCATTCTAAAGTCATCATCACACAATTTCCTAATTTTGCATGTCTTTCGCACTTCATGGAATCACATGTATTGAAACATGATTAGACTTTGGTTTCAACATGTTATGTCATTGGAATATTATGATTGGAATAACATGTTTTTATTGTGATAAGCCTTATTTTTATTTATTTTTCATAGAAGTCATTCAGATGTCTATCTTTATAACTTCAAATAAGCAATAAAGTTATGATACCAAATTAAAAAAATATATGGTATAAGTTAAAAAATGGGACAAAGTTTGAATAGTAAATTTGAGGTATTGGAGGAGACTAAAGAGGTATCTTATTTGAATTGAGCTTTTACTAATATTTTATGAGGATTATGCTACATGAAATTTTTACTAATCTCTAATGAAGATTATGTTGGGCGAAATGTTTTATTATAATTGTATTGTATAATGTTGGGTGAAATTTTTTATTATAATTGTGTTGTATAATGTTTTATTAGATATGCTAACGAGCATATGCTAAGGAGAGAGAGGGAATGAAAAAAGTATGAGAGAAATGGGACTTAGAAAAAAAAAAGTGCACGAAGGGAACTTAAAGATAAAGAGGTTAAAGAAAAGAAAAACTTAAAGATAAAGAGGTTAAAGAAAAGAAAAACTGAGGAAGGGGCTTAAAGATAGAAGGAGCATTTACGCAAAAGGGAGCAAACTAGAGAGTAGCCATGTTGGCTTTAAGCAGAGATAGGACAGAGAGACATAGGCGGGAAAGATTTCCGAAAGATTACCAGTCGTAATAGATTTTTCACAGCTTAGGGGCAGTTTGGATAGCTGGAAATATATAGTCTATGAAATATATTACTGGCTTAATACATTACTTGCAAATGGATTGTTTGGGTAGTATTTAGATGAAACCTAACAAATACATTGTTACCGCTCAGCTATGTTGAGAAGAAATATGGGAAAAGTATTACCAACATTTTACCAGCACGTGCCTATAACTAACATTTTTTTTTTTTGTCACAAAATTCCACTAAAATGCAGAATTAAATTTATTATCACACCATTCCAAAAACATTATCTAATAATAATATCATTACGATTCCAAAAATATTTTTAAATAGTAACTTGTACCATTTTAAAGTCATCAAGACACCATTTTCTACTTATTTTTCATGTCTTGGGCACTTACATGGAATCACATGTCTTCTAACATGATTAGACTTTGGTTTCAACATGATAAGTCATTGGAATAATATGATTCTGATTTTATTATGATAAGCCTTATTTTTATTTATTTTTTATAGAAGTCTTTCAACTGGCTCTCTATATAAGTTCAAATAAACAATAAATTTATGATATCAAATTCAAAATCTTTATGGTACAAGTTAACAAATGGGAAGAAGTTTGATTAGTAAACTAGAAAGTTTGGTAATTGCAATAGAAAATTTTGAGGCATTGGAGGAAACCAAAGAGGCATTGGTGGAGATTAAAAATGTATCTTATTTCAATTAAATTTTTACTAATCTCTTATGAGGATTATGTTGTGTGAAATTTTTTATTATAATTATGTTGTGTAATTTCTCATTGATTACCAATTATTAATTTTATTTTATTTTTTTATATAAGAGCTGATATGGGGTTACCAATTAAGAGGGAAATATCACCAATTATTATGGCTAAGAGGAGAAAGAGAGTGGTGCTTACCAGAGATGAGAGAAGCATCGCTTTGCTAAGTTTTTAAGCAGAGTTTGAGAGAGTGAAAATGGTGCGTCGACATTTTTAAGGGGAAAAGGCATAGAAACACATATTTTTAAGGGGATAAGGCAAAGACGTACATGAAAAATTTCCCAAGATTAGGGAGCATAATAGATTTTGCACTTCCACAATACGTAATAGATTTCCTCGTTTTTGGGGAAATCTCCAGTAATCTATTTCCATTTCCTACGATTAAGTGTATGAAATGTCATATTTCCTTGTAATCTATTGTGATTTCCAAGTACCCAAACGGCCCTTTAATGTGTTTCGGAAATCTCATGTAATCTCTCTATTTGTATCCAAACGGTAAGAATGTCATATTTCCTTGTAATTGATTGTCTTTCTAGATACCCAAATATTACAAGGAAATATAACATTTCCATCGTTTGGTCACAGACATTTTCATCATTGGGTACACTTTATAGAAATGGAAAGAGATTACTAGAAATTTTCCAAAAAATCACGAAAGAGCACTGTAAAAAGTGAAAAATCTATTACATGATGGTAATATTTGGAAATCTTTCGTGGCGCCCCCTCTCTGCCCTATCCCCGCTTAATAAAATGCCAACCCACCTATTCTCTCTAACGGTTTGCATAGGTACTCCCTCCCTCTCTAAGCCCTTCCTCCCTCTCTAAGCCCACCCTCTCTCTCTTGAGCCCTAATAAGTAGTTTGCATGCTCCCTCTCTTTAAGCCCCTTATGTACTTTGTCCTCTTCTTTTTTTTTTTTTAAAGCCCTTCTTTTTTTAAGCCCCTTTGTCTTTAAGCCCTTTGTCTCATTTGTAGTCTTTTCTTTTTTTTTTTTTTTTTTTTTAATCCCCATTTCTCATTTGGATTTTTCAATTATAATAAAAATTTCACCCAACATAATTCTCATAATAGATTAGTAAAAGCTCAATTGAAATAAGATACATCTTTAGTCTCCTCTAATACCTCAAACCTTCTAGTTTATTAATCAAACTTCTTCCCATTTTTTAACTTGGTATTATAAATTGGTTGCTTATTTAAAATTATATACACAGACATTTGAAACACTTCTATAAAAAATAAATAAAAATAAGGCTTATTATAATAAAAAATATTCTTCCAATCATATTATTCCAATGACTTATCAGGTTGAAACCAAAGTCTAATCATGTTAGAATATGATTATATGTAAGTGCCAAAGGCATACAAAATAAGTAGGAAATTGTGTCTTTTTGGAATGGTGATGATGTTATTATTAGAAAAATAGTTTTGGAATGATGTGATAATGACTTTAATTCTGTATTTTAGTGGAATTCTGTGACAAAAACAAAAAGAAATAATAGTTTATTGGCAAGTACTGGTAAAATGTTGGTAATGCATTTCCCATATTTCTTCCAGACATAGCCAAACAATAGCATTGTATTTCCCAGGTTGCATCTAAATACTACCCAAACAGTAACAATCCATTTGCAAGTAATGTATTACACAATAATATTTACTCCAGTAATATATTCCATAGACAATATATTTTCAGGTATCCAAACGGCCCCTTAGTATCACACCTATAACCAGTAGCCGGTTTTTCTTGCTTTTACCCCCCGTCAAAATGTTTTAAAGGCATTTCTCTCTCTATATCTCTCTCTCACACACACACACACACATTGAAAAATACGGTCTGGTACAAAAGTATGCCGAACAGATTTCTACTTTCTGGAGTTCCAGAAGTCTCGTGGCCGATCCAGCATACCGTCATGCTGAACTAAAATTGTTTGCTTTGGTACACTAAAAAAATGTGTCGGATCAATCACAAGACTTTTGGATTCCATAAGCTAAAATTCAGTCCGACACAATTTTATACCGGATCTCTTTTTTTTTGCTTTGGTCTGGCACAAAAGTGTATCAGACCGGTCACAGCGCGATTTCCAAAAGCTAGAAGCCGATCCTCCACTTTTGTGCCGAACTGTACCTTTTAACGCAAGAGAGACTAATATTGAGTGGAGAGAGAAAAGAGAGGGCGGGAAGAAGGTGAAAGAGAGAGAGGGCCCTGAGCCGTGCTTTCATTAAAAAAAAATTTAGAAACATGCAAAAATAAGTAAAGTTTTAAGTTTTTAAATATCCTAAATTT